CGCGGAGTGTTGATCCCAAGTCCGTTCAAAGTTTCGGACGCCAGAAGTTCATACCTACCAGGTACTGAAACGAGTATGCCTGGTCTATGATGCCTATGATAACATGATACCAGCACCATAGAGTGCATGTAGCTGAATGTCTCCGATCGTGCGTGTCTCGCAAGATGGGTGGATACCTGGCAATTGTATAGAGATTATAGAGCTATAGAGAAGGAGTGAAAGAATACAACATAGAATAGACTGGTTTGAATAACGAAGCCTAGATTCTTTACCATATTTATTGGTGGCGCCAGCCTCATGACGAGGTTGAAAAGAAACATGTTAAGGTGAGGTTATTTCTGAAGCGAGTACGGATTACTTTGTACCTACAAGGCTACACACCAGTAGTTGTTACGGATATGGTGCTGTGCTATGCTAGTAGCCTTAGGTACTAAGGTAGGGCATTCATGTTTACGTCATCACCCCTCCATCCTTTGCTCCACCCCGCTATCGTTAGGTTACTAATTGTGCCTATCTGATTCCACCACAGCCACTATCAATCATAACATCACCTAACACGTCCACCTCCGGCAGCTTAATTCGAGTCAATACCTTGCACCACATCATTTCTTCGCGTGGTTTGGGTATTACCGACAGTTCAAGTCAAAATATCAATTTCCCGTCTTCACCTTCAATCCACTCGACACCATCAATCCACTCGACACCATCAATCCACTCGACACCACCAATCCACTCTATCCGACACATTTCCTAAACCTTTAAAATGTCAAGCAGACAGCTGCGCAAGCTACGCAAGCAGAAAGAGCTGCAGGAGATCCAAGAGCCCCATGCCGACAAACTTACCGATGATGGCAAATCGACCGACGATAATCGGCCTCCACAGAAGCCAAGAGCCAGCTTGTTCTCCGGATTCGCAGCTTTGGCCGTCCAAGATGAGCAGGATGATAATGTCGATGAGGAAGAAGATGAACCAGTCGACGCTACAGTAAAGCCTGACCAAGCTGATGCCACGATGAGCTCATCCAAGAAAAGCAAGAAGAAGAAAAAGAAGAAGAAGGCCAAGAAGCAGCAAATTGCCCAGAATGATGGCTCGGATAAGGAGATGGATGAGATCGACCAAGCACTTCGGGAACTCGAAGCCTCCAACCTCTCCAAGGACCCTGACAAAATAATCCACAATGGACACGACTTCGTCAAGCCTTACGAGCGAGTATGCGAGCTCTTAAGCATCAATATGCAGCATTTGAAGGTCATCAATGAGATGCGCAACCTTTTTGGTCGAGAAGCAATCACAGTTGCTCAAATGGAGAGAGAGCAAGAAGATTCCCAGGCACGACGGCAAGGAGGTGAACCGACCGATTTGGAAACCTATCTCAGAGCGCACCCGGGGCTGGGCTTGTCGGAATTGACAATCCGACGTAACCCCTTCATAACTGGGAAGGAATCTTGGCCGGCCCATCCTACAGACGGACTCACGATGGAGCAAGTCCAGGAGCAAGCAGGAACTCTGGCTTGCTTGCCTGGTACTGTCGAGTTCAAGTTCGTGCACAACATATCGTACAACCTCCTGGAGATGGCCTTCTTCAGGCTCGTCCAGGGGCACGATCCCTTACGAATTGTACACTTTTTGGCGTCCAACCCGTATCATATCTCCAGTCTCATTCAGGTCAGCACGATCGCAAAGGAGGAGCAGAACTCAGCCCTCTCTACCGAGCTCTGCGAGCGAGCCCTCTTCACTTTCGGCAGAGTTTCACTGTCGGCCTTTAGACAGAAGTTGGAGCAAGGAAAAGCCAGGCTTTCATTCTTGAGACCGGAGAATCGTCAATTTTGGCTGGCTGGGTATCACTACCTCAAGAACCTAATCATGAAGGGTACTTATAGAACGGCACTGGAATGGGCCAAGCTGCTTCTTAGTATATGTCATGCCGACCCCTACGGAATTATCCACTTCATACACCCGCTCGCCATCCGGGCGCACGAGTCAAAGTGGTTTATCGATCTCTGTGACTCGGATCTCTTGGACATGAACGAGGCTGTCCAATACAGTCAAGCTTACATTAGGCAGACTCTCGTCTTGGCCAAGCTCCAGCAAAATGACAGGGATGGCGCCAGGGCGTTGTTGTGGGACGGTATGTGCGACTTACCTTGGCTTTATTCCGATCTATTCGAGGCACTCGGCTTAGATCGCCGCCCAGCTTGCTATGGCTGGCTACCACCGAGTGAGGCGGATCAACTTCACGCGAGCCTCTACATCCACCAGACGAAATCACTATGGGGGAATACACAAGCTAAATCTCTTCTCTTGGAAATTGGGGGTGAATGGCCTGTAACGGCGCCCACCAATATGAAGACCATTGTTTCGAGGAGCATTATTACGGTCAACTTTGCACGATTCGTCTACTTGCTAGGGATTCCTTCGATGATAGGATTGTTACCACGAGAATTACTCGACATGCCGGTGAATTGGGAATTTGACCCGTTTCCGCCACCTATGCACCAAAACATATTCTCCTACCCCTCCCAGATGCAGCCTTGGGAACCTTCGCATAGTCTTGGAAATATACCAGGGAATAGCGGTCGTCTCCCAGGTATTGATGCGTGGAATGAGATGTTGCGGGAGGAAGTACCCCAGCATATCGTACAAGAACTTGAGGACGCGATGCGCAATATGGCTGAGGGTCAGGATATGCCCGCCACCAACAATAGACTTGTGCATCATATCTTGGAATCGCTTCGCAACGAAATGCCTGGAGCATGGCCCGACGACAACTCCGAGGAGGAAGAAATTACAGACGACGAGCTCCCACATTTACTGCCCGCGGGTGAGTTGAATTCTGCCAATGATGCAGACACAGAGGCGCCTCCACCGGGAGGCGGGAATGACAGGAACGATCTCGACGATGGAGCAGAGGACGATGGAGCCGGTTTTGACTGAGACTGCCGACCTTCTCCAAGTGGGGGAGATGATCACGATGGGTCTGATATCTAAGATTTGAACCTACCCGTGGCTCCCCCACAGGAGATGCGTGCGAGGGGAGGAAAACATGTACAGTACATCAGAATGAAAGGATATGCATGGGACGACTTTCCAACTTTGGGCCACACTGCTGTCTGTTGGACTTTAGTGACTGCAATATACCTACTGTGCTTAACTTGAGTAGTACAAGTAGTGGGTGAGGTTTTCGTATTCATACTGCCATGTCCCATAGTTGAGGCAAGTTTCATCTCTGGAGAAAAGGGGGTTGGATAGGAAACTTGCTCAGGTTTCAGCTTGCAACAACTTGGGGTTTGCGTTCTTTGTTAGTCTAGCACGCGAGATGCAAGGCTGCAGTCATCAGAAGTACCCAGACAGCCAGAATACCGGTCTAAAGTGATTATATTCTGCCATGACCTACAAGACAATTGCTCCGCAATGTATTGTACTCTCATGCATTCTTTGTGCGTAGAGTTATCAGTTATTCTGAAGACTGTACGGAACCTCGTGGAAGGAGTTGAGTTGATGGATTACAGCACTTTTTAGTATGTACCCAGGTACATGTATATATGTACATCCCGGCCCTGACTGGGCATTATTAATACTCATACAAACTTCGAGACTTGCCGGCCGTGCCACCATATGTACCTCTGGGAGAAATATTTAATGTCATAGCTGTCCTCTCAGTCTCTTGGGCCTTGCATCCAACATCTTATTTACTTACACATACGTTAAGTCTCGTGTTGTCGGACAAAGTCAGTCCTCAGTTCTCTTTAAGGTACATACCATACCTTCTCAACTACCCCGCCAAAATCCACACGGATCCGCGAAGCAGCACCCCTCATTTTACCCAAGTCGCAAATAGTGAGCCGACACTCTTTCGCAATGGCTGATCAAGAGCACACCTACAAGTTCAACGTCACCATGAGCTGTGGCGGCTGCTCCGGTGCCGTCAACCGCGTGCTCGGCAAGCTGGACGGTGAGTTTCTCATAGTCCTTCTATCATGACTTTCTCGGCACATCCCGGCCCCAATCTCGCTGTTACTGCTCCCTTCCTGCGCGTACTGGGCAAGGGCGGTGCTCGTCTAAATAATCAACGGTATGTGTGGATCATTGGCATACTAACTTTGGCTCGGTGAATAGGCATCCAGAGCTATGATGTCTCCCTCGAGAAGCAGGAGGCTGTCATTGTCGCCAAGCCCGGCCTCGACTACGAAACCGTCTTGAAGACGATCAAGAAGACCGGCAAGAAGGTCACCTCGGGCTTCGTCGATGGCGAGTCGCGAAGCATTGATGTGGCCGAGTAGATGCTTTGATCGACCAGCCAACAATTTACGACTGGAGAGTGTGGGGGTTGGAATATCTGGACAAAACGACTAAACTTCTCTTTGAAGCTGTTCTTTTCTTCACATGGAGGGAACGAGGGGTTCGATGATCTTCGATCCCGATGCGTTACACCGTTCTGTTTCAACCCCTACTATTCGATGAACTATGAATGATCATGAGCAAATTCCGGCACGGCTAGCCATTTAGTATGGGAGTCAAGTCGTCTCAGCACATACGAAACGTAGCCTAGGTAGCATAGCATGGGTCGATCTGAGAGGGATACGCGATTGCGCACACGATGAATACATTTGTGAACCACTTCTCGCTATCATGTATCATGCATGTGGATAGTATTTTCCTTCCCTATTTGATTATGGTCTCCAACCCAAGTGATAGCTCCAGACGTATACTTGTATGCATAATCACGAAGCCATGCGGCCGTGAAAGGGCTCGCGTCGTCATCACATACAGATTTGAGTTGTTCGTTTTGCTGTACTGTAGATACCTAGGTAGCTTATAAGGGCCGCTCATGATAGGTACATACATACATACAGTACTTACTCCGCTTACCGGCGCTAGCGTTCAAACATCTCGTCTTCAGCCAACAGGATTGCGCCATTTCGGTTAGACAACTCTTGCTATTTGTCACTAGGAATATTAGGCATACTAGAAGCGCAAAATCTCACTCGATAATCCCATATCTCGATTGGTCTAGTGGTCAGGATACCTGCTTGTCACCGTGGTTAATATCTTGTATATCATCCGGAGCAGTTTCGCAGGTGGCCGGGGTTCGATTCCCCGATCGAGAGTTCTTAATCGGCGTTTGAGACATTATGTTTTAACACCCAAAGTTCACTCTCTTTGTGTCTTGTCTGAGCTGCGCATTTATCCTTTTTTCTTTCTTTTTTGGACCTGACGAAGCAAGGTAATAATACATTGAATAGTATATCAAATATGAGAAATAAGCTGTTACAAGTGATGTACCTCCTTGATTGCTAGTATGTGAAAGACTCTTCACGATTTGTAATTCTCAACACCGAGATATCGCCCACAAGAATTCACGAGTGACGGACGCTACCTATCATAGATAGATTGAACCTGAAAACGACTGACTTCAACAAGACCACGTTGGAACCTACAATTTTCGCTCACTGTACCTCTTTAGCCACCTATTGAGGTACCTACGTAGCATAACCAGAACGGGTGAGTGTGTCGGCCCTAGGATCTGTGCTTGCCTACCTCCCTGCATTCGAATATAGCCGTCGGCTTGACGGAATGGCTCTACGAAGACAACCCAATGATGGACCTCCTCAAACCCAATCCTCCTGCATCCAATCCCCATGAGGTGGGCAGCATATATCCACTCGGGCGGACAAGCCCCGGGCCCTGGGAGGAATGTCGTAAGGAATGGACACCTCTGCTGCGAGAAATCAACACGCTGGTATCAGCACCGAGTTATGATTGGCTCGAGATGCCTTAATACTGGATCGCGATGCGGAGCTTAGAGTCGAAAACCGGGTGACGGAGGGATGGGTGTTTTCATATAATTGTGCCTGTCCTTGTGAAAGACACTTCAACCATGTGACTTCACGAGAAACTTCGATGTGTTCGGCAAACCATGCTGGCCAGCTGCCTTCAACCCCGGACATTTATAAACCTGACCATGAAGCCATGCATGTAAGATCGATCGTCCTCTGATTGCATAGTGTAGATCATCCAGGCACGCGGCGACGATCACCTGTAACGATGGCGCTTTCTAACTTCTTACCTTCTATCATCATCCCTGCCCTCCTCTCGGCGGCCGGCGTGCAAGCCCACGGCATCGCCAGTGCGATCGTTATAGACAGCACCTTGTAAGCGAGGAGAATGCAGATGCCCCTCGTAGACTCACATGGCTGATGACTGAGCATAGCTATGATGGCTATAACCCAAGCTATCAGTGGAAAAGCCCGCCTCCCACGGTAGTGGGCTGGTCTGTCCCGGACGATTTGCAGTATGTCGTCTCCATGATACCTGTTTTTGTCATGAAACGGGAAGTTGGCTGACGTTGAACGATGTAGAAACACCTTCATCGCCCCTAACCAGTTTAACACCCCTGACATGGTGTGCCATCTTGGCGCCAAACCTGCGGGTGCGGCTGCTCCCGTCAAAGGTGGCGACGTGATCGAGGTTCAGTGGACGCCTTGGCCAGCATCGCACAAAGGACCTGTCCTGGATTATCTTGCGAAATGCAGCGGCCCTTGTGTAAGTCCACCTACCTCTAATCAACAAACCGAGAAAATTGTGACGTAGACTCGACTCACATCACGGCCCTTAGGAAACCGCGGACAAGACCCAGCTCAAGTTCTTCAAGATTGCCGAGGTCGCTTGGGTCGACCAGGCCACCGACCTATGGGCGTCCAACGTGCTCACTAACAACAACAACAGCTGGCTGATCCGGATACCTGAGGACATCGAGCCGGGGAACTACGTGCTGAGGCACGAGATCATTTCTCTACACTCGGCAGCCAACCCCAACGGCGCGCAGAGCTACCCGTTCTGCTACAACCTCGCGATCGACAGCAAGGGCACCGCGAGCCCTGCCGGCATACCCGCGACCGAGTTATACAAGGCCGCCGACCCTGGCATCAAGTTCGACTTGTTCTCCCACCCGACGGCCTACATGATTCCAGGCGTAAGTCAAACCTGTCATGATTCTTTCTGGTGTTCTGGTGTCTGCAATTTTGCATCGCAGCTGACATGCATTTCATAGCCGGCGCTATACAGCGGCGCGCTCCCCGTTAGTCAGACGAAGCCCGGCCCCATCACCGCCACGGCTACTGGCGTCTATGGCTACACGGTAGCAGCGAACGCTAAGGCCGCAATCCCAACGCCAGCGCCCCCGGCTGCCATCCCGACTACGCTCGTGATTGCGGCAAAGGCGGCGTCGCCAGCGTTTCCAAAGGCCACCCCAGTAGTGTGATAGTACCAGATGAGTTATATCCAAGCTTATGGTTGGCTCGCTCGTACGTGTTTTCTCTAGTGAGTCGACGCTAGGCTATTCGGAGTTCAATAGTGAGGTGCGCTCACCCAAGAAGTGATGGAAATGATGCAAGTGATAGAAGTGATGGGAGAATGTATGTGGCCGATGTTACGGTCTGAGGACACAACGTCACACAAGCTAGTTTAATTGCCGAAAGGACGCCGGCAACTACATAGTTAGATTACCTTAGCTTAACCTACTGGCCCGAATGTCGCGTGGTGAATATGTATCTCGTGGATTTATAGCCTCGGAGATCCCGAAAACTATCCGTGCTCGCCTGGTTCGGTATACCGCACAAGCATAGCTGTAGCCTGTAGGTAATAAGGTAATTCGTGTAATATCCAGTTTCGATGTAAAGGTAGCCTTTGCCCTTGATCTATTGAATTGTTTTTTCCGTAATTTTATGTAGCAACCACGTGAGATTAACTGGTTGGACTAGATGAGATCGATCATCGCACAGATATGATGTAGGTATAATGTACCTGAACTAGCCAGGTACAGATTACAGATTACTAGGTCGCTGCGGCGAGAAAGCATCTGTGCGTGCATCAGCATGGCACAGCAAACTTCTAGTAAAACATATTGCAACGCCGTTAATTTGTCGTTCCAAAGAATTGCGAGACTCCGTAGGGCAGTGGTAATGGTCGTGATTATTATCAGAAATCAGAAAATCACAAATTCAGAAGATGAGCCATCCTCTCGGAAATTATGATGAGCCTTGGCGCTAAGTGGTTTAACGCCGCATCTGGAGCTACACCCGAATCGGCCGAGTCAAGCGGGACTGCCGGGGAAACGGGCAAGGGGGCTCGGGGCTGTCAAGGAGCTTCGTCAGGCTTCGTGGTCCTTGGATTGTCCTTGGCATCCTTCGAAGATGGGAAAATGACACTAAAACCAGTAAGATCCAAGTTAAGATCCAATCACGTGGCCGCTTATATGTTCGGTTGAAAAGTTCTAGACTTGACCAACCTAGGAATGTACTTATTCGTAAACCTGGCACTATACAAATCATTTGACTGCCGTTAAAGTGAAAATCCACTGGCAGAACTGCAGAACTGGGGGAATGACATGATTCCATAGCGAGCTACCCTTCCAAGCCGCAAAGCCCGATACTACAGTAGGTATGACTTTAGATGCCCACATTGGGAATTTGATCATGAGCTGCTAGCCTTGACTTGGATCCTATTGTCTGACATCTCGGCCTTTCTTCTCTTTACCTTTCCTCCCCTCGTGTTAATCGTACATCTCATCTGCCAGGGTTGGAACCTGGGTGGTATCGTCGAGGGAGCTCTAGCCTGTCAGGTGCTCCGCTTGGCAGTTAAGACACGTCGACTTTCTTAGTGATGGGTCCGGCTCAGCCTCACCCACTCCATGAATCGTTTCGCTCACCGTCAAGTTCACGCAAACCGCTGAACGCCGACCACACATGCGGAATCGTACGGAATCAATGGACAACGTGAAGTCGCCCGTGTCGGTCCACAACAGCATAAACAGTCCAATATATAGCTTCGTATCGTCGTCACGGAGTGTGAAACGCCCACGCCCGGTGAAGAGCTGCTTGGAATGTCGGAAGAGGAAATTGAGATGCGACCGAGTCTCACCGTGTTCTCAGTGCCAGAAAGCGCAGCGGTCATGCCGTTATGCAGCTGAGGGTGATGCGGTGAGCGTGAGTGACGGCTCAGATGTGGAGACACACGAACGAGCCGCCAAACGCATCCGTACGGTAACAAGTCAGGAATCAGGCCAAAGCAGCACCAATTATTCCACCGTGCTCGAGGAACATGCAGCCAGGCTCGAACGGCTGGAGAGGCAGCTGCTCACGAGAACCTCCTCTGTCGCTGAATCTAGCAACGCTACGACACAACGTCCCGCTGCGCCGTCCGTCACAATCCGCGGCCTTACGGTGAAGGGAGGCCTGCGAACGCGGTTCTTTGGGCAGAGTAGCACACGTGTTCTCGTCAATCTCGTAAGTGGCACCTTGGGCTTCAAATCCCGCTCGTTGTGGCAGACATCCTTGCTGACCGGGTCACAGTTTGGCGAAGCACGAGACTTCATGTTCAGCAGGAATAAGTCCAACGATATCAAAGAGATGTTCATGAATATCCAGAAAATCCACAAGGCTCTCCAAGATGAACACCGCAAAGCCACTGCCCCGATTACTGTTTTTGTTGACTCGATGACGCCGATTCAGAAGCGGATGGCCGATGTTCTGCCAAGCAGGACGGTTTGTGATACACTACTCGGCATCTACCTGAGTGGATCCGAGACCATCTACCGTGTTCTGCACATTCCCTCATTCATGGGACAGTATAACGGATATTGGGAGGGCAAAGCCCAATCCGACGCATTTCTCCCCCAACTCCTCTCGATCTTGTGCGTCGGTTATCGCTACATCGGAGCCGGCAAAGGGCAGTACCACGATCGAGAAGGAATTCATATTCCGACGGCCAGTGCTCTCGTAAGGACCTGGCTTGACGGTCTCCGGGGAAAGCAGCTGGTCGAATTCAGCACGCTCCAAGCCGAGCTCCTGCAGCTCATGGCTCAGAGAATGATCAATCCGCAAAATCAAGAAACCTGGACTCATATTGGTCTCATTGTGCGCATGGCGATGACGATGGGCTTACACCGAGACCCTTCCGAATTCGCGCAGAAGATATCGCCGTACTGGGCTGAACAGAGGAGAAAGCTGTGGTACACGATATTAGAACTGGATGTGCACATGTCTATGCAGTGTAACCTACCCTGCTGCATCCGAGAGGGCGATTTCACGTGCTTACCGCCTAGAAATCT